TTACCTCAAGGACCCTAAACTATGGGCACTATGGCATTTTCCTTATTAATGTCTGCATATGGAGCAGCGCAGACCCCGGGTTTAATAGGGTTTCGAAACAGGGTCATCCTAAGATGAATAAGGAGAGGGCGGCAATCGGGGGTTCTAATTACTGTAGCATGCGTCGTTCTACCCGGCTTCTCCACAAGTGACCAAACCGAAGAGACTGCCGAGGACAACAGAACTCAACTCTCATCCTTCGAATCAATTCCTCAACCCTCTAACCCTAAGCTACCAAAACTAAAACCCCTCTCACAAAAACTTAAACCCGAAGACCTAAGATGACGGAGCTGCATGCCAAGGAAAGTCCAAAGCCATACCAGGCAAAGCGGAGAGCGTCTCCTGACGGCTTGCTTCAAGCTTCAAGGGTTTGGGGCCCGGGGCACAGCAAATGCAGCGGGATGTTTCAGGGTTTGGGTGTTCAGGTTTCCTTCTGGCGAAGACTATGTGTGCTAAACACTTGGAGGCCCAGGGGACTTAGTAAGTAGGTTATAAGTAGGGTTATAAGTACCCTAACTGAAGTTACCCCAATTATACCCCTACTTATAACCGACTCACTAAATCCCCTGGGCCTCCAATGGGAGCTAGGACTAGGGGGACTCTTGGGGATATAGACTCAATAAGGTCCCTTTTAAGAGAGCCAAAAGTAGGGTTCAGAAGGGGTACCCTTTAAGGGGCACCCGTAATAATACCCTAAACCCTAAACCCTAAACCCTAAACCCTAAACCCAAACCCTTCCTATACTACCTATCCAAGCCAGAATACGTCTCTCAATGGTACTGGTGTTTGTCAAAGCGGAGGTGGGCCTCAGCCTCGTCGCCAGGGAGCTTGGCTCCGCCCAAATACTACAAGTTTAGAGTTTAGGGTTTAGGGTTTAGGTTTTAGGGTTTAGGGTTTAGGGTTTAACAAAGCCCGCCACAGCCCTATTCAATCATCAACTCCTGCTAAGTTCTCCAGTGGCCCCTTAATTAACAATGGGGGTACCCCTTTTCCTCCTAGAGGTGCCCCCGAGATAAAAAGGCAAAAGGGTACTACTGTGCGACCTCGCCTATAATAGGAGACTGAAGCTTCATCGCCCTAAAAACCCTAAACCCTAAACCCTACTTGGAGGCTCGGGGGACTTAGTAAGTGGGTAATAAGTAGACTTATAAGCACCCTACAAGAGATCCTAATTGGGGTTATGATACTTATAACTTTATAAAACAACTACTTACTAAGTCCCCCGACCCTCCAAGTAAACGTCCCTAAACCCTAAAACCGGACGCTCAGTCCTGTGAACATCGAGGCTGTTCCTGGGAGATCGGGTGCCAATCATGCAGAGGGTTTAGGGCTGACAGTAGAAGCCCAAAAGATGGAAACCCAATAGCCTCAATCCGTAAGAGCCATATATAGAAAATCCCGGCACGAATTGTCCTGAATTAGGCTTCCAGATTTTTGGGGTTTTACTAATGAAGCCATATTGTTTACTATAGGCCGATATTACGGTAGCTCAAACTGAATCGCTTAAACTGTTTGGGGGTTACTCTAGAGTTTACAGACTCGTAACTTGGCGTCTGGCTGATGGGGACTGAGGAGTCGATATCAACAGTCCCCAAAGTTATGTGTTCAGTTAGGGTCGTGACAATAAGAATAACAACAATACCAAGTAATAATAGTTATAAGAATAGCAATAGCACCAATAATTTCAATAAGTATATGATGTCTTTTAAGAAGGATCTTTCACGCTAAAACCTTTTTTCAGCACGGACTGAGGTGCCGGCCAGCGCCTATGCAACCCCAAACCCTACTGTAAACCCTAAACGGTTAAGAGTTTTCCACGCCTCTCCTGGCCGCTATGCTTTGCAGATGGTTGGGCGGAGCCGGAATCGAAAGTGAAGACTCGGCTTAGGTTTAGGCGGTGTAGAAAAAAGGTTTTTGTAGCTGAGGGGTTAGGGTTTAGGCTTTTAGGGTTTAGGTGAAAAGGGTTTAGGGTTTTTAGCAGGCGCCGCGGTCTGCACATGGAGCCCTGGTAGCAAACAGGTCATGCTTCCCTCAAGCCCTCAACGCGAAACCATTCTTCGCTCCTACCAATACCTGCAAGTCTTTTGATAGTGTTTCGAGCGAGGCAAGGGGCTGCAAGGAATTGGGGCTTCGCTGCAGGACGGTAGAGTTTGTGCGTTTGGGGTTTCGACTCTCACACTCGCACAAGGCAGGGAAAGTTCCACATAGTTCCGTCACGCGAATCAACTCACCGGAGTACATCACGCAAGACCGAGACCATACTAAGCCATGCAACGTTTAGCGGCCCTTCAATCAGAACGATACGAGATCCGATGACTTGTCATCTGTAGCAAAAGCCTATGCAAAAGTCAGTCTGCGACGTACGCTGGACCCGACAGTGGTTGAAAATCAACTCCTGAACGGTGCTGGGGCCATCTGTGAGTATAATGAAGGAGGGGCTCGCGAAATCGAACAACTGCCCTGTGGCGAGCAGTGCGAAACTTTCCCGCTCAAGTGTGAGTACTCATGCTTCGATTTCCCCTCTGCGACACGATGACGACTCACCCACTCCAAAGAAGCGAAAGCTGTTTGGTTCCCCAGGCCTCTGGGGCAAAAACCTACATGTTCTCATCAAAAGCCTGCGCCATGGGTGGGAAGTGCCTGAGCGATACTGCACACGAGGCACCACAAAGAAGCACGGCCACCGAGATCAAGGGCATCATGAACCGGCGGTAGCTGGGCACACGAGAGCCTCCCCGGCGAGCTGCTAAGAGTTCATGCAGGGGGTTGGGATCCGTTAGTACCGTGATGCAGGCTCGGATGGGACTCTGCTGCTTCACGCCTGGGATCTTGACATGGACAGGCGGCTGCGATTGTCAGAATTCCAGGGACTGACACTCCGAGCAAAGCCTCAATTCAAGCTCCTGGGAGCTAGGATTGGGGGACCCTTAGTGATATAGACCCTCTCAATAAGGTCCCCTTTGGGAGAGCCAAAAGTAGGGTTCAGAAGGGGTACCCTTTAAGGGGTACCCCTAATAATAACACGCGTGTCCACTTTTCAGTCAACCTTTTGTCCTTCCCCTGTGTCCGTGCATATGGGAGTTTCCGAAAATTACGGGTACCTTTTTTTGGGGGTCCTTATAATAAGGATCCTACTATTTAGGGTACTATATTAGGGTCCCCTATTCTCGGACACCCCCATATCGCTGTCAATCGCAGCGCGGCGTCCCACGGTTTGGACCCCCTAAA